GTGGTTCTGGCGGGTCGCCTGAGTGGGCAAACGACGCGCAAAAGTCGAGAGAGCTGCCGGCGTCGCTGCAAGTGTGGCCACTGACCACATTCGATAGGTTTAGATGGATCACTGGCATAATCAGTCTCACGACCCACGAGTCGAGGGCTCGCTGCGAGGTGCTCGTTTACGACAGGGCCCGCACCGCGGCAGAGCGAGGCGACCGCGCGACGCCCCCACTCCCGCCGCGGCGCCGCATTAGCGAGGGCTGACGCTGCCGACGTGGACGCGCGCGCGGGAAGACGCGGCCTATGTCTCCAGCGAAACCCGCGTCACTTCCCGTCGCGCCGGCGGGCGCTTTAGGAGCGAGAGTTTTTCGATCTCAGCAAGTTCTAGGCAGAGGGTCCTGTGCACCCTGGCGCGCGCCGCGCGCCCCATAGTTTGTCGCGGGAACGACCTCTACTATTGTATAGCGAGCATATGAAAGGAGGGTCTCAGTCCAGGTGGCAAGGCGCAGGTGAGTTCTTTCCCTGGCAATTTGCCGAGTACGCTTGGTGGCCCTTATCTGCTTGTCAAGCTGCCCACTTGCGAGTGGGTCGCCGAAATGCGAATATGCGCCGGCGGCCAGAAGGCCATTGATCTAGGCCATAAACTCTGGCTCAGACACCAAGGGGTTTCTTGACGGCGCAAACCGCGCCCCTCAGTGCTTCGAGAGCGTCTCGCGGGGGAGCTTCAACTATTGCCTCGACGCGGTAACAGAGGAAGTCGAGGAAGCGGCGCGCCCCCGCGCCGCGCGACCCCTGCGCGAATGATGGGGGGGGGGGGCGGAGACTGCGCCTGCAGCGCCCGCGTGCTCCAGCGCTGCGTCGGAAGAAGCTGGCGCCCCGTCTGTCGCTACGTTGTTGAAGGCGCATGATTGCGCGGACCCCGATGCATCTGAACGCCGGGGCCCCAGCCAGACACCAGCGTTCGAGAGCAAGGAGGTCAGCGGGGTGACGCCGCGCATGGCGCGCACCATCATTCTAGCGCGGGGCTCTCCGACGCTTCGCGGAGAGCCGCGCGGCCCCCTGCAGGCGCGGCGGCCCCCGCTCCTGAGATTCCTCCATTTCGCAGCCCTGCGGCTGGCATGGGTCCCGTCGCGCACAGAACAAGTGGGTCAGCAATGCGCCCGCCCCCCATGGGTGGCGGGCAGGACCCGCAGCCCTCCGGCGCCCCATGAGACGCTGCGGGCATCCACGCGAAGCTCCGCGCACCCTGGGCAACGGGCGCGCTGGCGCGCCCCAACCATTGCATCGGGGACCTGGACAAGCAACGCGCATTAGGACTGCGAAGGATACGGGCTCTGATGTTCGGTTCGTGGTTTGGGAACTTAGGATGTGCATTGCGGAGCGGTCCAGCAGGGGCACGTTGGTCACTGGAACTTGCTTGGCCCCAAGCAACTATGTCTCACCTCTGTCACGAACGTCTTATCACAAGGACCTCCACTCCGTCTTTGAACTTTTGAACAGCTTATTTCAGACAACCCCTTAGATGGATTCCGTGCTCCGCCGCTGTCCGAGTTCCCTTAATTGGACAGCGCGGCGCAGTTCATCCCTGATGTAATCGCGTAACGTCCTGGGGGCCAGGGCGCTGCGCAGGACATGTTTAAGGGTGCCGTCAGAGACGCCGTCGGTGGTCCGTCGCGCCTCGCGGGCGCCAGCGTAGACGACGATCCCGCGGCGTTTTGCATCCTGGCGGAGACGGTAGAAGGTGGCCAATCGGAGAACATCAGGGTCAGGCGGGGGACAACCTGGCCCCGCAGCGCGGCGCGCCATGCCTGCGCTAGCCATGCAGGGGCCCCCCGAGGTAGACGATGCAGTAAGCGGTGCGCTCGCGTATCTGTCACGAGGAGCTCGACATCAATGGCGAGGAGATTGCGTTGGCGAAATCTGACGCTGAACCTGCGTCGGCGAAAGCGGACGCAATGGACATATATCCTGAGGATGTGGCAAATTTCTTCGGCGTCAGAGGGCGCCTCCTAAAGCGGGGGCGAGGCGACGGCATGCAACGGCGCACCCATAAATCGAAGGAGCGTCGGCGACGTTTCGGGCCAGATAGTACCGATCCTGCGCAGTCGAAGGACGGCGCCGCAGGGGCTCCGCCAGCAGCGGCACGCGCGTGCCCCATGCGAAGGAACGGGCGACGCAGGGGCGGCATCATTCCAATCCCGGTGGAATCACTTCCGGAGGCAGTTGCCGCTGCCGAAGAAGAGTCGGTTCAGCGGCCCGTCGGCATTTTGCGCCCGCGGTGCAAATTCTGGCTGTCAGCCGATCTCGGCGAGAAGGTTGCAGATGTTGTCTGCCCTGGGTGCCTCGCCCCAGCGAAGGAAGACGTGGCCGGGCATGACTTCGAACGCGATCGCGGTCGCGGGGCCATGGGGCCATCGAGCTCGCAGTTCCAGGCCCCCTCCACCTCGAGGAAGAAGAGCACTTCGCCCTTCGAGGGCAGATGGCTGCCTGGTGCCCAGCGCTCATGAAGTTTAACCAAATGGAACGTCGTGCTGTCGCGAAAGGTTTCAGCTCGCTGGTAGAACAAAGGGACCGCAGCGACACATGGCGGGAGTCGTTCCTAGCAGAGACGCATCCGAACGCACGCGAGCAGTCGGACCTGCATAGGGCCCGACAGCGGTGCGTCTGGGTCGACGAGTGCGACGCCAGAGCAGTCGACCACGCCATCCCTGCCCATCTCGCGGGACGAAACTCTTTGTCTCATGCCGCGCGCAACGAGCCAGTGCAACAGCGTGCTGCTCAGGAGCGCGTCGCGCGCGCAGCGAAGGGATCGGGCCCAAAGAAAGAGGCCGTCTTGCGGCGGAAAGCGACACGGGCAAAGGGTGGCGTATTATTCATTATGCATCCGCCCAATGCCGACGCGGCGCAGCCCAGACGTCTGCCTGGCCAGCCGCCGCAACAACCAACCGTCAAACAAGTGGCGCCAGTGCCCCTCGCGCGTGGGCGGAGCGACAGCCCGACTGTCCACGGGGCTCCACCGCTGAGGCCCGCAGATGTGGCCCAGCGTTGGCGGAAGCTGACGCCGCGCCTGCAACGGCGAAAGCCAGCGCTCGCGCGCCATCAGCTCGGACGCCTACGTCTGCGCGGCTTAGCCCGAGCGCGATGAGGTACACACTTGATGTGGGCCAAGTTCCCTGGGACCTGGAGACTGCGGCTGCCATTTCATCTTCCCGCGGGGTTTGGCGACTGACCGCTTGAGGAGCCGCCTTCCGCGTCAGCTGGCCCCAACTACCGAGCCCGCCCACGGGGGCAGACCGCGGGCGGCGCAACGCGGGGCAATATGGCTCGCAGGCACGCGGCTCCAGATGGCGCCCGCGCGTGTCGGGCCGTCAGGACCGTGCCAATGCCCGGCCATGGGGGCTGGTTTGGGCCTCGAGCTCAGATCTCCTGCAGTCGCGCCCCAGTTCACGAGGCATGCGCACTTAGGGAAGGATCGCCCGTGGAAGGCGGTCCCTCTATAGGGGGGCGGGTTGGTGGGCAGCGAGCGGTACGCGATAAGTAAATGAGATCGTGGCAGGTGGACTCGCGATGGTGAACACCCTCTTTGAGGGTCGGCGAGAGCTGACGCTTGGCCGACTGACCATGTATGTATCCCTTTTTCCTTCTCGCGCCCTCGCGCAGCCGTGGGGCATGTACTTCGTCATGCTTGTCATCCCGTCCTGTATGGACAGGGCCAGCCGCGCCTTCGAGAGTTCCAGCACTCACCTCAGCATGCAGCTCTGATACACCATCCCCTGACTTCGGGGTCGAGCCGGCCACCCCTCTGTCGTAGGCAGCGGGGCGTCTCCTCCAGACCCCCCCCCGCGCCCTCATAATGTTGCGCCCGTGTTTGGTCTTGGCTTCCCGCCCCGTCGTTTTCTCGGGCGGGCCCCTGGGTAAATTCATTCCTGAGAGCACCCTTTGTTCAAAAGTGCTTAGGCGGGAGGAGGGTGTTTTACTACTCCTCGGAGTCGGCGCAGTCTACTTTGAACGGTAACCCCTCGTGAGTTTCGGGGGTTTTCGGATCCATCCTGGGCCTCCCTCCCGCGGATCGAGGAAGGATGGGGGTCGCCGCCGAATGAGCTCCGGGTGGCGCAGGGTGACAGGGTGCGCGCGCGGCCGCCGCGCGTCCTCTCCGTCGTCTCGTCGGCCCTTGCACGCGGTCGTTTATAGTCAATTACTCGCGCGTCTACGAACTCGGCCGCCGTCATGAGCGAGCCGAGGCCCTTCTGCCCGAGGGGGCGTTTGGCCCAAAGGCCTTCGCATCCCCGAATCGAGGATGGGGTATACGATGCGGAGCGAGGAGAAGAAAGAAATGAGGGAGGGATGGGGAGGAATGGTGAGACGGGGATTGATGTTGTTGCTAATGATGGCGGATATCATGGCGCAGTTGGTGATGCTGGTGCTGGTGACGATGCTGGTGATGGTGGTGATGATGTTGATGGTCATGTTGCTGATGGTGATGTCGATGCTGAAGATGAAATGGATGATGATGGTGATGGCGCTTTCGATGACGATGGCGATCACGACAACGATGATTGCGACACCGACTACGACGAACCTGATGTCGATGATGGTCGTGATTGCGATGATGATGGTAGTGGTGGTGATTGTGATCGTGATGGTGTGGTGTGGTGGTGGTGGTGCTGATGCTGACGATGGTCACGTTGACGATGATGATCAGCAGGAATAGGAGGGTGAGGCGAAATATCACTAGGAGGAAAAGGAAGAGGAAGAGGAAGGGGGGAAGGAGGAGGAGGAGGAGGAGGAGGAGGAGGAAGAGGGGGAGGAGGAGGAGAAGAGGAGGAGGAGGAGGAGGAGGAGAAGAGGAGGAGGAGGAGGAGGAGGACAAGGAAGAGGAGGAGGAGGAGGAGGGGGAGGAGGAGGAGGAGGAGGGGAACGAAAAGGGAAGGGATGACGAAAAGGTGGACGAGGACGAGGATGAGGATGGCTATGGCGACAATGGGGCCAGTGCGGCCGCGCGGCGCACGGGAGGCGGAGCCGCTGGGCGCCCCGGCAGCTCGCAGGACCGCGGCCAGGGCGCAGGCGGACGCGTCCTCGTCTCCGGAGCTGCCCCGTCCACCTCCGCGTGTCTCCGATGTCGAGGAGGAGGACGGGGATTAGGAGGCGGGAGGGAGGAATCAATGGAGGAGGCGGAGGAACGACTCGAAGAAATGGAAAAGGAGGAGGACGAGGAGGAGGACGTGGTGCTGGCTGGCCACCGGGCACGATGCTCGAGCCGAGCTGGGGAGGAGGCAGGAGGAGGGTGGAGGAAGAGGAGGAGGAGGAGGAGGGGGAGGAGAAGGAGGAGGAAGAGGAGGAGGAGGAGAAGGAGGAGGACGAGGGGGAGGAGGAGGATGAGGAGGAGGAGGAGGAGGAGGCGGAGGAGGAGGAGGACGACGACGAGGAGGACGACGAGGAGAAGCAGGAGGATCAGGAGGAGGAGGAGGAAGAAGAGGAGGAAGGGAGGATATAGGAGGGGGGGAACTCGAGGAATGCGACCGAAACCAGGTTCCTCCTGTCGAAGACGGGAACCCGCGGCCCAGCGGGCGGTGCAGCGATTGCGCGGCCGAAGTACAAGAACAATTGGCCGAAGGAGAAGCAGCAGGGCGTTGCCTCCACCACGACTGCGAAATCGCCGAAGACCTCGCGCCCCTGCGGCTCCCCTGGGAACTCGCTCCGTTACTTAGGATCTCTCCTTTGCTGACCCACCGACCAGGCGCATTCACCCTGCTCCCCACTAGGAGCTCTCAGAGGCACTGGACCCCCGAAGGCGCGTGCTCACGCTGGTGGGGTTGGCCCGCCGCGCAGAGCAGCTCCAGGAAGACGAGCGGCAGGCGGGCGACACAGGACAGGCTGGGCAAGCCGAGCATACCGCTTCACGGAGCACACCTGCGAGGGCCCAGCCAGGCCGAAGAGGGGCAGGCAGGCCCGCAGGCGCCATGCCGGCCTCGGACACGGCGAGCCTCTCCAGGGAGCCCCTGGGCCCCCCTGGGCCTCGTAAAGGGTGGAGGCCGTGGGGACCTCCTTGGAAATCCTGGGGGCACCTTGGGCCAGGGGCACCTCTAGCACCACTTGGGCCTTGGGCCAGGGGCACTTCTAGCACCACTGCGCGTAAGAGTGACCTTTCGCCAGAGTGACCTTTGGTGCGGGCCCGACGGGGTCCTCCGCTGCTCGCCGAATGCGGTGCGACAGCAGCGTCTTGCGCGTCTGTGCTTGGCCCCCCCGCGGCCCCCAAATCGTCGCGGGGCACTGGCGAAGCGGCGGGCTCCGTGGTGCTGGCTGGCCACCGGGCACGATGCTCGAGCCGAGCTGGGGAGGAGGAGGAGGAGGAGGAGGAGGAGGAGGAGGAGGAGGAGGAGGAGGGGGAGGGGGAGGAGGAGAGGAGGAGGAGGGAGGAGGGAGGAGAGGGGAGGAGGAGGGGAGGGGGAGGAGGAGGAGGAGGAGGAGGAGGAGGAGGAGGAGGAGGAGGAGGAGGAGGAGGGATAATTGGGGGGGGAACGCGAGGAATGGGATCGAAACGGATTCCAGTCGAAGACGGGAGCCCGCGGCCCAGCGGGCGGTGCAGCGCCTCAAATTGCGCGGCGGAAGTAGAAGATCATCTGACTACGAAAACGCCGAAAGCGGTCTGGCCCCCTGACCCTGGGAGCTCGCTCCCCTGGGAACTCCTCTGCTGAGGAGGAGGAGGAAGAGGAGGAAGAGGATGACGAGGAGGAGGAGGAGGAGAAGGATGCGGAGGAGAAGCAGGACGACGAGGAGGAAGAAGTAGGAGGAGAAGTAGGAGGCAGGAGGCAGGAGGAGGGGAGGGGGGAGGAGGGAGGAGGAGAAGCGGTCCCCGAGATGTCAGAAATGGGCTGCAACGGGCCGAAAACCGAGCCAAGGCCACGAGGAGCTCCCACAGCCCGAAAGGACGAAATCGGAGGGGGAGCAGGTTCGACTACACGTAAGAGTGACCTTTCGCCTGAGTGACCTTTGGTGCAGGCCCAAGGGGCCCCCCCGATCGCCGAACGCGATGCGGTATTAGCGTCTTGCGCGCTCGTGTTTGGTCCCCCCGCGGCCCCCAATGAAGCGCGCATCAAAGGTCACTCTTGCGTGTAGTCGAAAGGTACCCATACCGCTACCCTTCGCCTGGTTTCCCCTTTTTGGGTCTCCTTGGAGGCCCTCGTCACCACCGTTGGATTCGCCTCGCAATTCTGGTCAGAGCGCACTCCGGAGAGGCCTGGGGAGCCGCGGTGTGGGGCACCTCTTGCTTTCCCCGGGCACGCACGAGGAATATCGGATCTGGGATCTTCGCGCCCCGAGTCTCGATCCTGCGGCGACGAGGCCGAGGACGATGCAGACGCCGAAGACGCCGACTCGAATCGATCCTCGAAATCGCTTGTGTAAAGTTCGATCGTCGACCCCGATCCTCGAACCTCGACCGCTCTGCTGACTGAGGTCCTCGAACCTCGATCGATCGACGCCGACGACGTCCACGACGGAGGCGCCGACGCCGCCCCCTCCTCGGGGACCTCCCAGGCCGCTGCGACGAGAATCCCCCGAGACGCCCAGGCGACGACGACGCCGACGAGGACGCCCTCGCCGACGACGCCGCCGCCGACGACGCCGCGCCGCCGCCGACGATCGCCGCCGACGATGCCGCCGACAACGACGCCGCAGCCGACGCCGCCGCCGACGCCGCGCGGCGAGGCCGACGACGGCGGCGGCGGCGATGGGGGCGGCGGCGGCGGCGGCGTCGGCGTGGCCCGGCCCGGAGGCGGCGCGGCGCAGGGCGAGGGGCGCGGCGCCGACGGCGCTGGCGGCGCGCGGGAGTGCCCCTCGCCGGGGGGGGGCAACAACGGGGTGGGATTCGAGCAGTGTCGGGGGAGCGTAAGACCCGGGTTTGCCGGGACTCGGGTTCGCCATCGTTTTTTGACGACCGCGACTCGGATTTTGACGAGGAGGAGTTTTGTGGGATGTCTGCAGCGGGAGGCCTCGTCAAAATGCAGGCTCGGCCTCGTCATTTTTTTGACGACCTCGTCGGGGATTTCCGAGTCCCCCGTACCCGGGTCTTACGTCTCCCCGACAGTGGCGAAGCGTCCTGGCCTTGGCTGCCTCGCTGCGCCCGTTTTGAAGCGCAGCACGTTCCGTGTTCGAAACAAACGTCCGTGTCAACACGCTGCGTCTTGGCTCAGCGCATCGGTCCGCGTTTTGGCGACTGTGTCGCGCCGAGCCTACGTTACGTGTCGAGCTCCGTGTTCACACGCTACGTGTTGCGTGTTGCGTATCGGGGCAGCTAGGGTCCTGGCGGGCCTGCAGGCCCACCACAGAATGCTCTAGCAACCTTTTTGTGATTCGCACGAGGTGTTCTCTTAAAAAGGAGAGCGCTTGTGGCTGAGATCCCGTTTGGCTTTAAGACAGTGGCTTCCTGTTTCGAGGGCATTGTCTTGTTATTGGGTTTCTTTTCTTGTTCTAGGACAATTTCGTGGTAGGCCGATCGGATATGATATAGGAATGCCAGGACGGTCGGCCCTTGCTCAAGGGATGGGAACAGGGGCGTGCTTGTCGGTCGTTGTCGGGCGGTCTCGTCGTGTTCGAACTTCGAGGTGTTCTGGCGTGTTCGTGGGCTCTTCGCGGTCTTCCAGCCTCGGGATGCGATCCAGCAGCTGCTCCCCGCTGAGGGCGAGCTGGGAGGAGGAGGAGGAGGAGGAGGAGGAGGAGGAGGAGGAGGAGGAGGAGGAGGAGGGGGGGAGGAGCCTGGCTGGCTGCGGAAAGGGGTTTGTGGGGGGGCGTCGCCGCTTGCGTGCCAAAATGAAGATGCTCGGGCGGAGGGGGCGCGCTGGCTGGTGGGGGGAGGGAGAGGTGGGCTGACGGCGGAGGGCGGCCGAGGGCGGACCAGCGCCGTGCCGAAGTGAAGGGGGTCAGGGCGGAGGAGGCGCGGTGGCGCCTGCGGAGAAAAGGGCGGCAAGGGGGACCAGTGCCGTGCGGAAGCAAACTGGTCGGAACCCTGGGCCAACTGTGCAAGAGAGTGACGGAGTTGAGGCGGAGGGGGCGCGCTGGCTGATGGGGGAGGAGGAAGTGGGCTGGCTGCGGCGAGGGGGGGCGGCGCGGCGTGCGCGGCGCCAGTTCCGTGCCAAAGGAAATAGTCGGGGCGGGGGGTGTTGGGGAGGAAGATGTGGGCTGGCTGCGGAGGGGGGGGGGCAGGCGTGCGCGGAGTATCCACAACAAAATCAAAGCGTTTATGTGTCGTCGGGTTCGTCCCAGGGCGTTCCTAGGGCTCTCCTAGTCAGAGGGGTAAAAGGTACCAATACCGCTACCCTTCGCACGTGTTCCTTTTTCTTCCGCCTCCTGGGCTCCTGGGGGCCCTCGTCGCCACCGTTGGATTCGCCTCGAAGTCTTGGTCAGAACGTGGAAAGGTCCCAAGCCGCGTTCCCTGGGCTCTTCTGGGCCATTTCGACCCAGGGCGCTCCCAGGGCCCTCCTGTAGGGCGCTTCCAGGGTGCCCCAAGGGCCCTTCCGGGCCATTTCGTTTTAGGGCGCTCCAAACGCCATTTCGTCCCGGTGCGTTCCCAGCGCGTTTCTGGGCAGCTTCGGCGTGCCTGGAGGGCACGGCAGCCGCGCGCGCGGCGGCCAGGGGTCCTTTTTTGAGCAGCAGCGCGCACGGCTGCTGTCGGCTTTCCCAGGATCGTATGTTTCCACGGGCAGCCGCGCGCGGGCAGGCTTGGGAGAGTTCGTTGCTATCGAGTTGTGCTTTTCCCGGCAGAAGAAGAGCAGGGCCGCTGCGCGCGCGGTGGCCAGGAGCCCTCAAGACCCGCCGCGCGCGCCGTGGCCTTCGGCGCGATCGAAGCATGTTGTCCCGAACAGACTAGGGCAGGGCCGCCGCGCGCTCGGCGACTGGGGTTTCTCAGGGGCCGTCGCGCGCGCGGCGGCCTCTGGCGCCCCCGAGTGGTGTTGCTTCCGTGCTCGGGGGGGGGGGGGGCAGGGCCGCTGCGCGCGAGGCGACTGGGGGCTGTCGAGGGCCGCCGCGCGCGTGTCGGCGGTATTTTTTTTTTGTCGCGGCCGCGAGCGAAGAGGCAGGCGGCGAGCAGGGTGTCCGGGCCAACGGGCAAGCCTAATTAGCCACAAAAGGCGCCGCTAGCCAGCCGGCCCACTCACAAAGCAGCCGCGAGGCTGTGGGGGAGCAGACGGCAGGGGCATCTTGAGAAGCTCGGGCACGTGCAGTGGACAAAATGTAGAGGAAGTCGGTGCCTGCCGTGAGGCATGACCCACACAGTGACATGACGTGTACCGAGGCAACCGTGTCCGTCATTCTGAATGGGGGTAGGCGCGAGGCCCGAGGAGCGAGTCGCCAGTGTTGGCGGTACGCGGAGCTACCGAGTTGTCTCGTCCATGCAAAAATGCGGCAGGGCCGCCGCGCGCGCGGCTGTTGGGGGCTCGCAAAAGCCGCCGCGCGAGCGGCGGTTCCTGGTGCTCCAGGGCCTTTTGTTCCGCGCGGGAGAGAGCAGGGCCGTTGCGCGCGCGACGGCTGGGCGACCCCCAGCAGCAGCCGCGCGCGGCGGCCCCTGCTCGAGAGGAGCAGTTGCGCGCGCGCGGCGGCTCTCGGCGCGCCCAGTGTTTTTTCTCGAACAGGAGACAGCAGGGCCGCCGCGCGCTCGGCGGCTGGGCACCACCGCAAGCAGCCGCGCTCATGGTGGCTCCTGGTGCTCCCGAGTAGTATGTTTCCGCGCAGAAAGGGCAGGGCCGCCGCGCGCGCGTGATGGCTGCCCTCAAGAGCCGCCGACTCGCGGCGGCTCTCGGTGCCCCCAGGTATTTCTTTTCCCAGAGCACGTGGCAGAGCGCCGCGTGCGCGCGCGCAGCGCTGGCGCTCCCGAGTTGTATTTTCCCAAGCAGATTGAAGGCAGGGCAGCCGCGCGCAGGTGGCTTGGGGCCCGCGTTCCTGGGTGCTCTCGAGTGGAATGTTTCGATGCCGTAGAAGGCAGGGCCGCAGCGCGCGCGCGGCAGGCGCCGCGGCTCCAGGGCGCCCCCTGGGGAGTCTTTCTCCGCGCAGAAGAAGGGCCGCGGCCCCCAAGAGCCGCCGCGGGCGCGGCGTCTGTCGGAGCTTTCGAGCAGCGTTCTGCGCACCGCAAGGGGGGCAGGGCCGCCGGGCGCGCGGCGGCTGGGGGTCCACGAGAGCTGCCGCGCGAGCGGCGGCTCTTGGAGCTCCTGGGGCGCGTTTTCCCGCGCAGAGGTCAGGGCCCGCCGCGCGCGCGGCGGCTGGGGGGGCGCGCCTGGGTGGAATATTTCCATTCCTGAGAGAGTAAAGGCCCCGTTCGCGCGGTGGCTCTTGGCGCCCCCGAGATGTTTTCCACGCGTGAGAGGGCAGGGCCGCCGCGCGCGGGGCGGGCGGGGGTCCTCAAGAAAGGCCGCGCTCGCGGAGGATCTGGGCGATCCCGAGTGGCATGTCTCCGCGCAGATGAGGGCAGGGCCGCCGCGCGCGCGATGGCTCTTGGCGCCCCCGAGTCGAAGGGGGCCGCCGCGCGCGCGGAGGCGGGGGGCCCTCTAGGGCAGCCGTGCGCGCGGCGGTCCTGGGCGCCCCCCCCCCCCCCCCCCCCCCCCCCCCCCCCCCCCCCCCCCCCCCCTCACCCCCCCCCCCCCCCCCCCCCCCGGCCCACCCCGCGCGCGCGCGCCCGCGCCCCGCGCCCCGCCCCCCACCCCGCGGGTTTTTTCAACACAGAAAAATGCGTTTCCTCGCAGCAGGGGGCAACGCCGCCGCGCGCGCGACGGCTCTTGCTGGCCGTCTGGTGGAACCGTTTTGGTGGCCTTCTGGGCCGTCTGGGAGGCCTCTGGGGCCGCTTTGGGGTCTTCTTATGTTGTTTTGGGGCTGTCTTGGAAACCCCCCGTGGCCTCGTTGCGCCGATCTGCGCGGCATTTCGGGTTGTCCCGGAGCGCCGGGGTGGGGGGGGCGCGAGGGCGCCAGAGTTTATTTGTTGGGTCCTTCATTGCGTTTTCCTGGAGGCCTCGAGCGTCTTGGATGCCGCTCGGGCTGTCAGGGGGCTACCTGCGGCGTCTTGGACCGACTGTTCGACGATCCAGAACCCTCGTAGGTATGATTTGGGGCCTTCATGGACCCTGCAAGCTCGCGGGGCCCCTCGGGGGGGGGCGGGGCTCTGGCCTGGGATCCCCCCCCCCCGAGTCAGGGGGCAAGGGGTCGAAGGGGTGGGGCTTCCCGTCGACTGCATTGCGACGTTGCCCAATTTCGCCCTAGCTTCGCTTTGGCTGGCTCGCCCGAGGGGGCGAGCCCAGCGAAGGGGGGCGGAAACGCGACGAGACCAGGGCAAGGGGGGTCAGCCGCGACGACGACGACGACGAACGACGGACGACGGACGACGAGAAGGAAGGACGAACGACGAGCGATGAACGACGACGAAGTCGAGTTATACAGAACAGCGTCTCCCACGCGCCTCCAGCGTCGGCGGACTTCAGAGCCGTTGCGAACATCGAACAAGAAGCTTGAGGGCATCGCCATGATCGCCCGACGCAAGGAGCTGACCGACCAGCTCGCCTTGATGCCGAGGGACATCAACCAACGGCACGCTCAACTACACCATGACTTTCGCCACTCGCTCAAGCAACATGACGCGAAGATCAAGACTCTCAGGATGGAGTTTTCGTCGTCGCGCGAGCTCATGGACACTTGCACGTCTCAATCAGAGATCGACGCCAAGCTCGATGCCAAGCGCGCTGACATCGCGCAGCAGTTGTCTGCGCTGCAGGGGGCCCAGAGGTCCGCCAACAAGATGCTAGAGAGCATTAGGCCGCCACGTCTTCCCCCCCGCCCCCCTCGCGCACTGCTG